AAATGACTGGAACACTTTTAAAAGTGGCGTTAAACCCCACTCACTCACTCACTTACCTTGTACAAGTGATGCTGTAATCCACCTACACCTGTCTCATGTTGCGGTCGTCAGATTTGTATGCTAATGATTTCTGACAGTCCTGGACTTCAATAAGAAGTCAGGAGAATACTCCAGGACACCAGGTGCCTGTTCAGTGAGTGTTGTCTGATTACTTCACTCGTATTTCAGGATCCGAGTCCCCAACTCGGACATCATGTACCAGAGCTGTGAGGACGAAGGAGAGTTCGGAGCTGGACAGAGAATGCTGCATCTCCTCAATGTAAGGGCAGCGAGGCATGTAACAGAGAACTGTTTCAGCTGGGGATGTTATAGGTGTAGGACAAAGCATGTCTGAGGGTTTTTAGGATATTTGAGCTTTATATGAGGTTTTATTCCAAGGATAAGGGTTTTAAATATCATAAAAACCCAAGGAGAAGTGTTTTATCCAACAAAAGAAACTTAAGGCAACGTTTATCAACATTTTTATAGTTTTAAACATGCTTTGCATTAACCTTAGGAATCGGGCGTACAATATTTGTTGCAGGCATATGGTGCTTGAAACAGACATTTTTAAAGCATTGTGATTTATCATCGTATCTGTAGCCTAGTGGTACACTCACTGGGATAAATTATTTAAAATATATATAATGCTGGCGATATTATAACATCCCTGTTTATGAGATTTATTCCCACTGGAGAACAATAGCATGACGTCACTATAGGTTTATAAACCTGAGGAGGGAGGGCCAGGTGGACAGTTTATTCAGTAAAAGTTTTCCAAACCAAATAACTTACATCGGCATATGCTATTCAAGCACATATGTATCAAGTATGGTAGAGGTAGCGTTTGGCATAAATAGAGAGCTGAGAGAAATTAAAACCTTTTTTTTAATAGTTCCATGTAATGTTGACAGTTATTGTTAGCCTCAAGAAGATCAAAGGATGGATCCCAACAATGATATTTTGTAGTGTACAGGTTATGATCATCTCACCTCCAGAATGTTGAGATCTGATTGCCGCACGTGATCTTGATAAAATACTATGTACCCTGTCTTGGAGGGAAATATCTTGAGTGAGGTGATTGTCAATATAGTGACTCCTCTTCCTCTAGATTCTGAATGCGGAGAACGTGATGGTGGTGGTGACTCGGTGGTACGGTGGCATCCATCTCGGCCCGGACAGATTCAAGCACATCAATAACCTCTCCAGGGAAATCCTGCTGGAGCACAAACCATGTGCACAGTAAACCTTATTTATCTCAGTGAATCTTTACTTCATCACCTGCCCTGGTGGCTCAGTGAATCTTTACATAATCATCTGCCTTGGTGTCTCTGTGAATCTTTACTTCATCACCTGCCCTGGTGTCTCAGTGAATCTTTACTTCATCACCTGCCCTGGTGTGTCAGTGAATCTTTACCTCATCACCTGCCCTGGTGTCTCAGTGAATCTTTACCTCATCACCTGCCCTGGTGTCTCAGTGAATCTTTACTTCATCACCTGCCCTGGTGTCTCAGTGAATCTTTACCTCATCACCTGCCCCGGTGTCTCAGTGAATCTTTACTTCATCACAGGCCCGGGTGTCTCAGTGAACATTTACTTCATCACCTGTCCTGGTCACTCAGTGAATCTTTACCTCATCACCTGCCCGGGTGTCTCAGTGAATCTTTACCTCATCACCTGCCCTGGTGACTCAATGATCCTTTACTTCATCACCTGCCCGGTGGATCAGTTGGAACACACTGGATGACAATACTAAACAAGATATATGGTTGCCAGTTCAGTTCACATCATGGAATTGTCATGTAAAAAAACTTTTTAACCAGTCAAAAATCAAAATTAGATGCAAATTAAATGATATACTTCAAAAGTAAAAACTCAAAGCGGGTCTTACTTACACTGGTGATGTCTCCAACACTTTGCAGGAGGGCTGGGACGAGTCCAAATTTACTACTCCGGTACCCATCCCCTATTACCCGATCCTTCCCAGGTGCCCGCTGTAGGTCTCAAGATTGGGAAAAGTTTGACTGTAGCTCTGGTAAAATGTGTTTAGATACTCGTATGAAACGATATACACTGAAGTTGACTGAAGTTTGATCTTCATTCAAACATATAAAAATAGAAGGAATGGGTGTTGTCAGGAAGAACTGCGAACATGTGTGACTTGTAGTTTAAACATAGAGTTGTAGAGATTTTTGTCATTTAACAATATATCCAGCTAACAACACGTCCGGGGTGTGATATTCTATGAAACATTTGTAAATAATAAATGGGGGTGTCAAAAGCATGCTCATCATTTCCAAACATGAACCTTATTGTATCAGTGAGACCTTCAATATCACAATGTGTCCTTTGGTTCTGCTGTATTCAGTCATTCTCATGTGTTTACACCCAATTCCCATCGATTCTCGTGGTAAATATACGTCTTCTTCAGTTCATAGAGGGCATGTATATTGTTATACTAACATTCAGATTTGGAAATGCTGTGAGAACTTTTGACACATCCCCCTAGTGAAGGATCTGAACATCAAACATGTTTTATTTGATAGGATAGGACAAAGTATGAAACATAAGATTGAAATATTAATATCAATGAGTTTTTTAATATAATATTAAGTAGGGTGGATGATGTAGTTCTTTTAAGGTATTAGTATTCTTTTAATATGTATATACATTGATTCTTGTTTATCGAAATATTTGTTTTTATTTATCTTTTAATGCGTATGAGTTGGTTTCACCTGGGCAACAAGAAACACTATTTACAGTACCATGTCTCGTATCTACATGTTCATGGTTTTGTTGGTTGTCGGCAATTTGAAATTATTTCCTATATACTTGTGATAATGTACTTAACAGTTAAACTATCATCCTTCTTGTGAAAGTGTTATACTTGATGAAGGTGGCCACTCTTCAACCTTCAAGATTCCATCCTTCATTGACACAAGTTTTACAGTTTGACTATTGTTGACAAAGTTTGATGAAGCTGGTCTGTGTTGTCAGCTGTGTTATCTCTTACTTGACCTCTCGGCAACTTGTTCTGGTGTCCCCCGCCGTGATATTGCTGGAATATTGCTAAACGCGGCTTAAAACCATACTCACTCACTCACTCACTCACTCACTCTAGGCAACTTGTTCTGGTGTCCCCCGCCGTGATATTGCTGCAATATTGCTAAGAGCGGCATAACACCATACTCACTCACTCTAGGCAACTTGGCCATGTTACCATGGTTACAGGTATTATTTGTACATTTCAGATTTACAGAACAAATATTATACCTTTCATTCTGGAACCAGTTAAAGAGATAATCGATTTACAAATGTCAGATTTTTATAATTCCTCTTGAGGATTTCCAAAACTATATTTATATACTAATGTATATATTTCTCCTGGGTGCTAAACATAAACCTCTATGAATGTCACACATATTTCACCAGGGGTGGGAGGGTGTCGGGGTACGGGGGGGATGGCAATCATCGCAGGTGCCGGAATTCGTGTGTAGTGTTGCTGCGCATGATTTTGGGTTGGAATCCCGGTTCTCAGGATTATGTTTCTAGACGTGTGTGCTTGTAGGTTTCACCAAAGTGTTAAACATCCGAGACAAATCTCATGAACATCAGATCTTTGTTCTTGTTACTGCTAAATGTGATCCTCCTAAATTCTCCCAAATCTTCGTTGCTAACATTTTAAACTGTTGACTACATATCCAGGTGAGCTACAGATCAGGTGAGCTAGAGACATGGCAATCTTTTATCTAAATCGCCACTGTGCCTTTATGTCCTGTACAGATTATGTACCTAGGAGTCTTTGAGGCTGGGCATGTCACTACTGAAACGAAGCTGTGGCGGCAAATGTGTCTGGGGTGTTTATCATTACAGAATAGAGAGAGATATTATAAGTTGGATAACATTGGATGCCTAACGTAACCATGTGATGTGAAACACAACTTTGATGTTGACATATTTCTGTCTCCGTGTTGCACATCTACAGACACAGTTTCAGATCTGTAGGAAGGGTCCAGAGGAGAATAACTGCTCCATATTTAACAGCTGACATTGTGTTTTTGCTTCCCTTGAGAACATCTCTAGCAAGGAGTACCGTGGTATGCTATAGTATATGTAGTCGTGCTTCAAGACCATGCTGTGCCTGTGTAGTTTTGAAGTAACATACTTCCTCTCAGTGAGAGTTGAGACTTAACGCCTGCCTCGTGTAAATCCCCGGACTTAACAGGTCAATGAAAATAAGCACTGGGGCTGTACATAGTGCTAGATCTCCAATAACCATCGGGCATGTCTGATTCAACTGACCTTTGCCTGGTATGAAGAAAAGAAGATAATAAAATTGTAACATCGTCACCCTGAAATAATAACACCACCACTCTACATCCAGGTCTAGGAGATAGATGAAAAAAACAAAGTTCCTGGTCACACAGAGAAAATGTGGTATTTGTGTTGTTATACACCTGCAGTCTCATTATTGACGTCATGTTTCCTCCTTTTGTCTTTTACATCAATGTCCTTAGCTTTGTCTCTTTTATATATTGTATAAATACATGTCATCTTATTGTACAGTTTTAGGACTGTTTTGTTAAAAGTTTTACATCTGCAGTTTATCATTGTTGTAATTTTAAAAAAGGATTTTAAGTTGAAATTCAAATCATAATAAATGTTTCAGTGAAAATTGATCACTCCTTGAACGTAGTAATAATAGGAATAACTCTGGTTGTTGAGGTGTCCCTGGTACAAAAAATCGGGGGAAATAATGATAATAATAAATCCAACAATTACAACAGAGCTCTCAGCCATTGTGGCTTGGATCCCTAATAAGTTGCAAAAGTGGTCGTTGTGTTTGCTTGCAGAATTAACATGCTTGGTGTGACGAACAGTGACTGTCCGCAGCAAGATTGGTGGCTATTAACCTTTTCAAAAACTTAAAATTAAATAATATTTTTGATAACCGTTTTATTTCTTCTTCTTGTTGAGTTTGAGTTGAAGTAACTTTTGTATTCAGTTTATTTCTTCATTATTTACCTTGACCTTGAATAAATTATACTTATAAGAAATGCTTTCGGAAGAGATTTCTTGTGAATATGGAAAGGGTTTCAAGCTTTTGATTCACTGTTTTACTTAACTTCAACAAAGTCCGTTTCTAAACTTACCAGTAATCCAAAACAGAACTGGCAGAACTTTAAAAATATATGCACGGATCAAATTTCAGGTCTGTCGACATTTATTAATAATAATTAACAGGTCTCGTATCGGAGATGTCTTTAAAACACAGTTGATGTATCCTGTACTGTGAGACATGCATGTGACTGAGATATCCTGAATAGTACATCGTCATCCATCAGGTAACTTACGGATAATCAGTATTCTACTGTTTGGGACTTTAGGAATTCCTTCCTAAAGACGACAGCAACCTGAGAGAGTTCTACACACATATATATGTGACAAACACACGTTGTCAGTGTTAACATGTAAACACCTTAATAACTCCTTCCAAACTGAGACAAACATACACGTGGTTATGTCCATCTACACACACACCCTCGGGGTGCTTGATACCGTCCTGTTGTGTCAGTATGTTTCTGACAAACTGTCCTGACTCCGTCAGATGGATGACACTGTGTAGAGAGAAGTCTGTCACCAGGATGTCACCTGTGCTGGTACTTGTGATACCCTGGGGATACTTCAGTGCTGTGTCTCCTGTAGGGCTGTAGGTGAACACCACATCTCCCTCGGGGGTCAGACACACGACACACTTGGTTCCACTGTCGGACACCAGGATGTTTCCTGTCCTCGTGGTACAGAGGAAGTTGGGACATCGTAAGATGTTGTTACCATTGTGGAGTGGACTGATTGACCTCAGCACGTTTCCCGTCATATCCAGGATATCAACACAGGGAGGAGACCGGGAACCAGCTGCTAGTGTTGATGGTGTCAGGGACGTTATGCCCCAGTACTGTTTGCTGGTTGTGACGGTTGACAGCAGCACCAGGTCAGGGTTAGCTTCTACTGTTACAATCTGTTTGATGTTCCAGACAGTGACGGCCACCTGGTTGTGTGTCAACTTTGTCAGACTCAATGGTTGACCATCCAGACGGAGTTTACTGTGACGTGTCTCGTTATTCCTGGTGTAGAAGGACTTCACACAGCTGTTGCTGCAAGCTGTGACTACAACTTTATCTGTGTCATTCACCACCATCACTGTCACGTCACTCGGGTCTGGTGTGTTACTTTCGCCTGATACTCTGACGTTAATGGTGTCCTGTAACACAGGAGTAGCCTTCATGTCCAGCTCACTCTCATACATGACGTCTATCTCACCCAGCTGTAGATCGTCCAGAGATTTACTCAGCTTGTCCGTGTCCTGTCTGAATGTGACCTTGGTTATTCTTCCTCTCTCCTTCACATCTGCGTCTCCGACAGCCTCCACATCACCCGTCTCACATCCCTGATACATCTCATACACATCCATGTCACACTCAGATTGTAGAGCCTGGTCTATCAGCTCCGCCTGTTGTTGGTACATCTGTACTGACATCTCACCTGACTTAATGTCTGCTTTCAGTTGCCCGATGTGTTTATATGAAATGTCTTCCATCTGATCTAACAGCTTCCTCTCCTTCTCCTTGGCCTGATTGATAACTTTCTGGCATGCAGACTGAATGTTCGATTTCATCATTGAAAAATGATCTCTCCCTAATTTCTCTTTCAACTTCTTTTCATTCACACGTAGTTTCATCTTATCTTCCTTCTTTGATAATGCCTTCTTCACTGCTCTCAGCTGTCTTTTCATTGTCATTATCTGTGACGTGATCGTGACAACGGCGTCACATTTCCTGTGGTAAATGATGCAACATTTCTGACATGCTGCCTTCTTGCAATCCGTACAGAGAAATTCTAGCGACTCCTGTTTGTGCTCTCTGCACATGACCTTGACCTTTTGTCTTCCCTTAGCCTTTACCTCTCCAGACAGGTCAGTGACGTCATGCTGACGAAATGATGGGATGCGGTTGTGAGCTCCAGTACATTTGTCACAGAGTGCCTCATCACAGACCGAACACCAAACAACAGCCGGAGTTGTCTCCCCATCTCCTTGGCAGTAGGTACAGTAGGTCGTGTCTGTAAACACATTACAGTTGCATAATAACATTTCACCTACTTAAACTATTTACATGTGTTTATATCTCCTTATATCTTTCTAGCAACGGAAACACTATCAGCAACAGGAGATGGACCAAATAAATAAAACCTTCTTACTTAAGCATTTGGTATACATTTTATCACTTATGGAAATCTATTTAGTACTCAGTTTGTGTGTGCACAGTAGCTGGTCACTTTATGTCCTCAACTCTTAGATGCTGCAATACATGTTTGTTAGCAAAATATCGGCTGGAGTGGGCGGGACAGAGGACTGGGACTGCAGGGGTGGGAGGGACAGGGCGGGACAAGGGAATGGGACTGCAGGGGTGGGAGAGACAGGATGGGACAGGGGAAGGGGACTGCAGAGGTGGGTGGGACAAGGGAATGGGACTGCAGGGGTGGGAGAGACAGGATGGGACAGGGGAAGGGGACTGCTGGGGTGGGAGAACAGGGGAAGGGGACTGCAGGGGTGGGACGGACAGGGGAATGGGACTGCAGGGGTGGGACGGACAGGGGAATGGGACTGCAGGGGTGGGAGGGACAGAACGGGACAGTGGAATGCGACTGCAGGGGTGGGAGGGAGAGGGCGGGACAGTGGAACGGGGCTACAGGGGTAGAAGGGACAGGATGGGACGGAGAACTGGGACTGCATGGTTGGGCGGGACAGGGGATGGGACTGCAGGGGTGGGAGGGACAGGGGAATAGGACTGCAGGGGTAGGAGGGACAGGTCGGGACAGGGGAATGGGACTGCAGGGGTGGTAGGGACAGGGGATGGGACTGCAGGGGTGTGAGGGACAATGGAACGGGACTGCAGGGGTGGGAGGGACAGGGGAGTGGACTGCAGGGGTTGGCTGGACAGGGGAATGGGACTGCAGGTTTGGAAGGGACATGGGAATGGACTGCAGGGTTGGGAAGGACAGGGCGGCACAGGGGAATGGGATTACAGGGGTGGAAGGGACAGGGGAATAGGACTGCGGAGCCGGGAAGGACAGGGCGGAACAGGGGACTGCAGGGTTGGTAGGGACAGGACGGGGCAGGGGAATGGGACTGCAGGGCAGGGTGGACATTGCGGGCAGATGTATGGGACAGCAGGGATGGGAAGGACAGGGCGGGACAGGGAAATGGGATTACAGGGGTGGGAGGGACAGGGGAATGTGACTGTAGGGATGGGTAGGACAGGGCGGGACAGGGACATGGGACTGGGGACGGGGTGGACATGGCAGACAGGTGTATGGGACTGCAGGGCGGGGTGGACATTGCGGGCAGATGTATGGGACAGCAGGGATGGGAAGGACAGGGCGGGACAGGGAAATGGGATTACAGGGGTGGGAGGGACAGGGGAATGTGACTGTAGGGATGGGTAGGACAGAGCGGGACAGGGACATGGGACTGGGGACGGGGTGGACATGGCAGACAGGTGTATGGGACTGCAGGAATTGGTGGGACAAGTGTGTGGAACTGTAGGGCTGGGGGATACAGCGGAAGAGAAATCCTGTCCTAAATAATCCCATTCTATTTCTCAGTTCCAATATATGCAGTGATTTTATTGATATTCATGCACTGTAGAAAGACGACAACCATGTGCTTGCATTATGTAAATCTAAACATTATCAAAGGCATAAACCACCAAAGGCCAGTGCTGATCATAGCGAGTTAGATACGGTTTAAAATGAATGAAATGCCTGAAATACTTCCAAAAGTGCAAGTCTGTAAACACATTTACTATTTCAAACGTATTTGTTCGTGAGTCCTATGATAGATGAAACGATTGTGCAAAAACTCAAGTATGTCAATAGTTCAGCGAGTTTGGAGCTTTATGCACATGTTGTCGATGTAGCTCTGATTGTTAGTAGTTACTCCGTCTGGGAGCAAATCAAATGTATCTACCTTTAGATCCCGGACCAAACGAGTCCAAGAGTCCCTGGATGATAAAGATTGGCTTGACGTCATCCGCCCACTCCTCCACTGGTCTCTCAGGGGCAGACACTTTCGTCATCTTGTTGCAGAATGGACAGAGGAGGGACTTGGCACTAATGGCTTCTGGTCTGGTTTTGGTGTAGTTGACGACACATTTCCGACAAAAGGTGTGATTACACACAAGTGTACAGGGATTATCAAACACCTCTGTGCAAATTGTACAGGTCAGGAAATGTTCCGTAAGCTTCTGAGAGGTTGCCATCTGAAACATGTTAAGGTTCAGGATTTCAACAGTACCCCGGGTTTATGTAACATTCTTTGGTCTTCCGTGTAATCAGGTGCCAAATAACCCAGTTGGGTTACTTTCAAGCTGTCCCAAAGAATCAGTATATTATGGACCCCTAGAAAGTATATTGTTGCCCTTACAAAAACAAGCCAAACGTGTCAAAATTAACAAGAACACAACAATGCGATAATGCGACAACACGACATTTTGTTAATTTGTAGCATTTTCCTGGTCAATTTTTTCGAGTACTACATGTGCGCCTGGTAACTCGATAAGGGCAACAACGCGACATTATGAATATTTCGCACATTGTCATCCATTTTAATGTCCTATTTACACAGTTTTTATCGTATGACAAAGCGACAACCTGACATATTTCGACCTGGAAAAAATGTTGCTTTGCTGCCCCTTGGCAAAATAATAAATATTTTATTCAAAGCGCTACAATTGGACAAATGGTCAAAGTGTAGTGTTGTGGCATTGTCGCATTCTCACGCTGTGGTTAAATTATTTTTGCAAGAGTGACAATGTGACAAGCTGACAACGCGACAATGACCCTTCTAGGATTCCATAGTATATAACAAAGGAATTGTTTTGCTAAACTTTGGACATGGTGCAGACGCCTTCTTTGTTCTGGACATATTCTGTTGAAACTAGAAGACTAGACTACAGTCTCTCCTCAACGCACTTTCCAGAAGTCACGTTAAGAGCAAATTAATAATCAATTCCATCTAGCGTTAAGAGCAAAATGGTGGTGAAAATATGAAAATATGAGAACATAGAAACTAACCAAATTTTTCATGTTTGATGCCTCTAGCTACCTCAATAAGAAAGTTGTATGCACTTTCCATTAAATAAGCTTGAACTTCATTCAAAGGTAGCGCACAACCTTGCCACTCAAATGCCCCACCCATAGATGATATATACAAACCTTCCTCCTAATGTAGTAAACACTGCTTGAGTTATTGTGAACAAAGTATAGTTTTGACTGTATGACATTCAGGCCCAATTTGACCTTCACTATTGTCTCAAAATGTTCAAGACGATTCCATGAGACGATCCAAATTGCATATTAACTACACGTGTTGGTCCTTAATAGAATTCAATGTGGCAACAAAAGTACAGCTTTCTAAATGAAAGTAGGTCACTGTGAACTGTCACCACTTGTCATGCATGTGTTTTCAAATAACATAACAACTATATGCATAACACTTAAATAAATATCGGCATAAGTTAAATTGGCAAACACAGATTACGAATTCCCTTCACGGTGAACTTGACCTTGTATACGAGGGTCACTCACAGGTATTTCGTCTCAACTGACCTTGAGGATGACCTTAAGCCTTGACTTGACATATCAAGTGTACAAGAAACATACTGCCATATGATTGAGAAATGAAAGATATGATATATTTCAGATGTCCATGCACCAAGTGATCATATTCAGAAAAAGAACTTACACGGGGCTGCTTAATCATACACCGGATAGTGTCTATTTGCTAAATGTAAAGAATTGTTCTTAGTTTTCTGAAAAAGGAAACAGTAAAATAAAAATACAATAACAACCTGTCTTAGCGAGATGTTAAACAACCACCTAACCATAATTAGTCATGAATCTTCGTTTCTATGATAAAATTAAAACAGTAAAGTATTCAACTGAAACATCTCCATTGAAATATGAAGTCTGCAATTGTGGATATCGTAGCTTGGATTTGAGACATTCTCTTGACTCAACTAGGCCCTGAAACATGTTTAAATATCTCCCGCCATATTCCTAGTGGGTCACTGGTCCTCATTACCATAACGAAAGTAGACGACTGACTTCCGTGTTGTAAACAGTATGTAGGTATGCAGGTGACACACTGGAGATTGTGGTGACTATGGCATAAACCAGTACAGGATATTAATACACACACATACACTTAATTATCGATAAACGTTGACTCCTCATGATCTGTATATGAACGAATACAACAAACCACACACGACTTTGTTGTGATCTTGGATCCTCGTTTTTTATCCTCGTTTTTTCAATCTACACCCATCCAGTAATTAAAACTAACCATGTTTTTTTCAATATTAAGTGCTGTAGTTTTTAACATGATGACTTATGCTGAAAGTGACCACACATATTTTGAAGCAAGTGACATCTGGCGCGGAACTGGTGTGTAGTAATGTTCTATAAATTCCTAGACACGTGTGGCTACGTAAAATAGATCATTGAGTGTGTAGTGATGTTCTATAAATGTAAGGAGACGGGTGCCAAAGCGAAATAGATCCATGGGTGTGTAGCAATGTTCTATAAATGTCTGGACATGGGTGGCCCAGTGAAATAAGTCCATGGGTGTGTAGTTATGTTGTATAAATGTATGGAGACGGTAGGCCCAGTGAAATAGATCTATGGGTGTGCACCTATGTTCTAGAAATGGTTGAGAACTGCTTGGCAAAATGAAGCAACTGCTTACCAAATGTAGCAACTGCTTTGCCAAATGTAGCAACTGCTTAGCCAAATACCTAGCACCAGCCAGGAAAACACGAGGCAAATAGACACGCAACATTACCTTGCTGGTGATGAGACACTGGTAACGTAGTCCTCCGAGAACTGTGTGAATATCTCGTGTTGAAGGTGGGCGCAATAACACCTGTGTGTGATCCTCCCGAGTTGGGTGGCAAACTGTGGACTAGGTGCAATGTCCACGGCTTGTCTATGTACGTCGTCAGTCATTGGTTATCTCGAGTCAGCAGTTTGTTTAAGATATGCAGCACATGCAGTTCACAATTAAGTAGGCTAGATAACAGGTGTACACAGCATGTACAACACGTCACACTCTCATCACAACCAGACTTAATACTGGGCTACCACGACGATTCTAACCTGAAACTTATTTAAAGCTGGAACATGTTGGTTATTATGATAGTTCCCTGTCCATCCCGTGGTAACATGTTAAGGCACTGAGAACCTGTGAGGCTACTCGTATACATACAAGGGCGGATCCAGCATATTCAAAAGGGAGGATTCCAAATATAAAATGCCCTCTCAGATTACTGTACTGCCTACAGTGAGTGAGTGAGTGAGAATGGTTTTACGCCGCTTTTAGCAATATTCCAACAATATCACGGCGGTGGACACCAGAAATGGGCTTCACACATTGTACCCATGTTGGGAATCGAACCTGGGTCTTCGGTGTGACGAGTGAACGCTTTAACCACTAGGCTACCCGACCGCCCCTGTACTGCCTACAACATACTACATTTGGGTTTTCAAAAGGAGGGGGGTCAGGAACGCCTCCCCCATCCCCTGGATCCACCGAAGTACATGGAACGTAGTTTAAAACTGGTTTGTTCAATTGTGTTTCGTGAAAAATCGTGGTTAGTCTTCATAGCTCTCTGTTCTTGTTGGTTGTGTCTACATCATATCTTATCATATCATACCATATAATGCCATGTCATTCCATGCCAATTTATTTCATATCAATCAATCAATATTTAGTCAACACTGGAAGACAGCAAGCCATATATTATGTTCACTAAAAAACAGTATTTACACAATTTCTATAATACACATAATATATTGCATAATAATAACTCTGGTTATTGAGGTGTCCCTGGTACAAAAATCGGGGGAAATAATGACAATAATATATCCAACAATTACAACAGAGCTCTCAGCCATTGTGGCTTGGATACCTAATAAGTTGCAAAAGTGGTCGTTGTGTTTGCTTGCAGAATTCACATGCTTCGTGTGACGAACAGTGACTGTCCGCAGCAAGATTGGTGGCTATTAACTTTTCAAAAACTTAAAAATAAATTATATTTTTGGAACAGTTTTATTTCTTCTTCTTGTTGAGTCTGAGGTGAAGTAACTTTTGAATTCAGTTCATTTCTTGATTATTTACCTTGACTTATAAGAAATGCTTTCGGAAGAGATTTCTTGTGAATATGGAACGGGTTTCAAGCTTTTGATTCACTGTTTTACTTAACTTCAACTTTAAGTCCGTTTCTAAACTTACCAGTAATCCAAAACAGAACTTGCAGAACTTTAAAAATATATACACAGATCAAATTTCAGGTCTGTCGACATTTATTAATAACATGTACACATAAAATCAATAAATGTATGACCGTCCACCACATGTCTTGGTAATCCTGATTACTTCAGTATGTTGATGTATTAGAGAGTAACATGGACAGGTCTCGTATCTGAGCTGTCTTTAAAACGCAGTTGATGTATCGTGTACTGTGAGACATGCATGTGACTGAGATATCCTGAATAGTACATCGTCATCCATTAGGCAACATGCGGATAATCAGTATCCTACTGTTTGGGCGTTTATGAATTCCTTCCTAAAGACGACAGCAACCTGAGAGAGTTCTACACACATATATATGTCACAAACACACGTTGTCAGTGTTTACATGTGAACACCTTAATAACTCCGCTAATGAGACAAACATACACGTGGCCATGTCCGTCTACACACACACCCCAGGGATAGTTGATACCGTCCTGTTGTGTCAGTATGTTTCTGACAAACTGTCCTGACTCCGTCAGATGGATGACTCTGTGTAGAAGGTAGTCTGTCACCAGGATGTCACCTGTGCTGGTACGTGTGATACCCTGGGGACACTTCAGTGCTGTGTCTCCTATAGGGCTGTAGGTGAACACCACATCTCCCTCGGGGGTCAGACACACGACACGCTTGGTTCCACAGTCAGACACCAGGATGTTTCCAGTCCTCGTGGTACAGAGATAGTTGGGTCTTTGTAAGATGTTGTTACCGTTGTGGAGTGGACTGATTGATCTCAGCACGTTTCCCGTCATATCCAGGATATCAACACAGGTAGGAGACCGGGAACTAGCTGCTAGTGTTGATGGTGTCAGGGACGTTATGCCCCAGTACTGTTTGCTGGTTGTGATGGTTGACAGCAGCACCAGGTCAGGGTTGACTTCTACCGTTACAATCTGATAGATGTTCCAGACAGTGACCGCCACCTGGTTGTGTGTCAACTTTGTCAGATTCCATGGTCGACCACCCAGACTGAGTTTACTGTGACGTGTCTGGTTATTCCTGGTGTAGAAGGACTTCACATTGTCGTTGATCCAGTCTGTGACTACAACTGTATCTGTGTCATTCACCACCATCACTGTCACGTCACGCGGGTGTGGTGTGTTAATGTCGCCTCCTACTCTGACGTTAATGGTGTCCTGTAACACAGGAGTAGCCTTCAGGTGATCGTGACAACGGCGTCACATTTCCTGTGGTAAATGATGCAACATTTCTGACACGCTGCCTTCTTGCAATCCTTACAGAGAAATTCTAGCGACTCCTGCCTGTGCTCTCTGCACATGACCTTTCGTCTTCCCTTAGCCTTTACCTCTCCAGACAGGTCAGTGACGTCATGCTGACGAAATGATGGGATGCGGTTGTGAGCTCCAGTACATTTGTCACAGAGTGCCTCATCACAGACCGAGCACCAAACAGCAGCCAGAGTTGTCTCCCCATCTTCTTGGCAGTAGGTACAGTAGGTCGTCTTTGTAAACACATTACAGTTGCATAATAACATTTCACCGACTAAAACTATTTACATGTGTCACCTTATATCTTTCTAGCAACGGAAACACTATCAGCTCCAGGAGATGGACCAATTAAATAAAACCTTCTTACTTAAGCATTTGGTATACATTTTATCACTTATAGAAATATATTTAGTACTCAGTTCGTGTGTGGACAGTAGCTGGTCACTTTATGTCCTGAACTCTTAGAAGGGGTGGGAGGGAGAGGACGGGACAGGGGAATCGGACTGCAGGGGCCGGGTAGGTCAGGGCGAGACAGAGGATTGGGACTGCAGGGGTGGGCAGGACAGGGAAATGGGACTGCAGGGGTGGGAGGGACAGGGAAATGGGACTGCAGGGGTAGGGGGACAGGGCGGGACAGGGGAATAGAATTGCAAGGGTGGGAGGGACAGGGGAATGGGATTGCAGGGACAGGGGGATGGGACTGCAGGGGTGGGAGGGACAGGGCGGGACAGGGGAATGGGATTGCAAGGGTGGGAGCGACAGGGCGGGACAGGGGAATGGGACTGCAGGGGTGGGAGGGACAGGGCGGGACAGGGGAATGGGATTGCAAGGGTGGGAGGGACAGGACGGGAGAGTGGAATGGGACTGCAGGGGTGGGAGGGACAGGGCGGGACAGGGGAATGGGATTGCTGGGGTGGGGGAGTGCAAGGGTGGGAGGGACAGGGCGGGACAGTGGAATGGGACTGCAGGGGTGGGAGGGACAGGGCGGGACAGGGGGATGGGATTGCAGGGGTGGGGGGGACAGGGCGGGACAGGGGAATGGGATTGCAAGGGTGGGAGTGACAGGGCGGGACAGTGGAATGGGACTGCAGGGGTGGGAGGGACAAGGCGGGACAAAGGGATGGGACTGCAGGGGTGGGAGGGACAGGACGGGAGAGTGGAATGGGACTGCAGGGGTGGGGGGGGGTGGGGGGGGGACAGGGCGGGACAGGGGAATGGGATTGCAAGGGTGGGAGGGACAGGGCGGGACAGGGGAATGGGATTGCAAGGGTGGGAGGGACAGGGCGGGACAGTGGAATGGGATTGCATGGGTGGGAGGGACAGGGCGGGACAGTGGAATGGGACTGCAGGGGTGGAGGGGACAGGGTGGGACAGTGGAATGGGACTGCAGGGGTGAGAGGGACAGGGGAATGAGACTGCAGGGGTGGGAGGGACAGGGCGGGTCAGTGGAATGGGACTGCAGGGGTGGGAGGGACACAGCGGGACAGGGGAATGGGACTGCAGGGGTGGGAGGGGCAGTGGAATGAGACTGCAGGGCCGGGGAAGACAGGACGGGACAGTGGAATGAGACTGCAGGGGTGGTAGGGACAGGGCGGAACAGTGGAATGGGACTGCAGGGGTGGGAGGGAGAGGGCGGGACAGTGGAATGGGATTGCATGGGTGGGAGGGACAGGGCGGGACAGTGGAATGGGACTGCAGGGGTGGAGGGGACAGGGTGGGACAGTGGAATGGGACTGCAGGGGTGAGAGGGACAGGGGAATGAGACTGCAGGGGTGGGAGGGACAGGGCGGGTCAGTGGAATGGGACTGCAGGGGTGGGAGGGACACAGCGGGACAGTGAAATGGGACTGCAGGGGTGAGAGGGACATTTGAAAAAGACTGCGGGGCCGGGGGAGACAGGACGGGACAGTGGAATGAGACTGCAGGGGTGGTAGGGACAGGGCGGAACAGTGGAATGGGACTGCAGGGGTGGGAGGGAGAGGGCGGGACAGTGGAATGAGACTGCAGGGGTGGGAGGGACAGGACGGGACAGTGGAATGAGACTGCAGGGGTGGTAGGGACAGGGCGGGAGAGTAGAATGGGACTGCAGGGGTGGGAGGGACAGGGCGGGACAGTGGAATGGGACTGCAGGGGTGCGAGGGACATTTGAAAAAGACTGCGGGGCCGGGGGAGACAGGACGGGACAGTGGAATGAGACTGCAGGGGTGGTAGGGACAGGGCGGAACAGTGGAATGGGACAGCAGGGGTGGGAGGGAGAGGGCGGGACAGTGGAATGAGACTGCAGGGGTGGGAGGGACAGGACGGGACAGTGGAATGGGACTGCAGGGGTGGTAGGGACAGGGCGGGACAGTGGAATGGGACTGCAGGGGTGGGAGGGAGAGGGCGGGACAGTCGAACTAGACTGCATGGGTGGGACAGGGGAATGAGACTGCAAGGGTGAGAGGGACAGGGGAATGGGACTGCAGGCGTGGGTAGGACTGGGGAATAGGAATCCTGTCATAAGTTATCCCATTCTATTTCTCAGTTCCAATATATGCAGTGATTTTATTGATATTCATGCACAGTGGAAAGACGACAACCATGTGCCTGCATTGTGTAAATCTCAACATTATCAAAGGCATAAACTACCAAAGGCCAGTGCTGATCATAGCCAGTTAGATACCATTTGAAATGAATGGAATGCCTGAAATACTTCCAAAAGTGCAAGCCTGTAAACACTCACTATTTCAAACGTATAGTTCATGAGTCCTATGATAGATGAAACGATTGTGCAAATTCTCAAGTATGTTAATAGTTCAGCGAGTTTGGAGCTTCATGCACATAGTGTTGGTGTAAATTAAAAAATGTCTGTCGTTAGTAGTTAATCCGTCTGGGAGAAAATCAGCTGTATCTACCTTTAGATCCCGGACCAAACGAGTCCAAGAGTCCCTGGATGATAAAGATTGGCTTGACGTCATCCGCCCACTCCTCCACTGGTCTCTCAGGGGCAGACACTTTCGTCATCTTGTTGCAGAATGGACAGAGGAGGGACTTGGCACTGATGGCTTCTGGTCTGGTCTTGGTGTAGTTGACGACACATTTCCGACAGAAGGTGTGGTTACACACAAGTGTACAGGGATTATCAAACACCTCTGTGCATATTGTACAGGTCAGGAAATGTTCCGTAAGCTTCTGAGAGGTTGCCATCTGAAACATGTTAAGGTTCAGGATTTCAACAGTACCCTGGGTTTATGTAACATTCTTTGGTCTCCCGTGTAATCATGTGCCAAATATCCCAGTTGAGTTACTTTGAAGCTGTATCAAAGTATCAGTATATTATGGACCCCTAGAAAGTATATTTTTGCCCTTACAAAAACAAGCAAAACGTGTCAAAATTAACAAGAACACGACAATGCGATAATGCGACAACACGACATTTTGTTATTTTGTAGCATTGTCCTGGTCATTTTTTTCGAGTGCTACACGTGCGCACGGTTAATCGATAATGCGACAACGCGACATTATCAATATTTCGCACATTGTCATCCATTTTAATGTCCTATTTACACAGTTTTGATCATGTGACAAAGCGACAACCTGACATATTTCGCCATGGAAAAAATGTTGCCTTGCTGCCCTTAGGCAAAAAAATTAATATTTTATTCAAAGCGCGACAATTGGACAAATGGTCAAAGTGTAGTGTTGTGTCATTGTCGCATTCTCACGTGGTGGTTAATTTTTGACACTGTTTGCTTATTTTTGCAAGAGTGACAATGTGACAAGCCGACAACGTGACAATGGCCCTTCTAGGATTCCAAAGTATATAACAAAGGAATGTTTTTGTTGAACTTTGGACATGGTGCAGACGCCTTCTTTGTTCTGAACATATTCTGTTGAAACTAGAAGACAAGACTACAGTCCCCCCTCACCGCCATTTCCAGAAGTCACCCTTGGCAGTACTGAGGAACCTGAAGGCATGTCTATTCTAATGACATCATTGTAAGTCATATGACATCACTTCCGGTTAGGGAATATTCAAGAGAATAATCAGTCAACTGAGTCTACTTTATCTGCCGAAACAGATTTCAACTAGCGAAGAGCAAAATGGTTGTGAAAATATGAGAACTTAGAAACTAACAAAAGTTTGATGCCTCTAGCTACCTCAATAAGAAAGTTGTATGCACTTTCGATTAAATAAGCTTGAACTTCATTCAAAGGTAGTGCACAACCTTGCCACTCAAATGCCCCACCCCAAAGATGATATATACAAACCTTCCTCCTACTGTAGTAAACACTGCTTGAGTTATTGTGAAGAAAGAACATTTTTGACTGTATGACATTCAGGTCCAATTTGACCTTCACTTTCGTCTCAAAATGTTCAAGACGATTCCATGGGACGATCCAGATTGCATATTAACTACAAATGTTGATCCAAAAGGGAATTCAATGTGGCAACACAAGTCCAGCGTGTGCTGCGAAATGAAAGTAGGTCACTGTGACCTGTTACCACTTGTCATACGTGTGTTTTCAAATAACATAACAAGTACATGCATAACACTTAAATACATATCGGCATAAGTTAAATTGGCAAACACAGATTACGAATGACCTTCATAGTAAACTTGACCTTGTATTCAAGGAACACTCAAAGATATTTCGTCTCAATTGAACAGGCTTCAGGTTATGACCTTGAGGATGACCTTAACCCTTGACTTGACATATCAAGTGTACAAGAAACATACTCCCATATGATTGAGAAATGAAAGATATGATATATTTCAGATGTCCATGCACCAAGTGATCACATTCAGGGAAAACTTACACGGGGCTGCTTAACCATACACCGGAAAGTGTCTATTTGCTAAATGTAAAGAATTGTTCTTAGTTTTGTGAAAAAGGAAACAGTAAAATACAATAACAACCTGTCTTAGCGAGATGTTAAACAACCACCTGACCATAATTATTCATGAATCTTCCTTTCTATGATAAAATTAAAACAGTAAAGTATTCAACTGAAACATCTCCATTGAAATG